TTAGGTCGTTCAGCTGAAGCCTGTTACAGCTTCGTTATAACACGGGAGCTCATTAATGTGCTTGTGTGTTTGAAAATCACTAGAAGCAAAGACGAGCAAACTATATCAATGGACTCATCTTACCAATTATGGCAAAACTAACATAAACTCATTAAATATTGTAATCCATAACTAGAACTCAATATAAGAATAAGTTATATAATTATCATTAACTATATTTTTGTTGTGATATATCTGTAATAAAAAATGAAGTTAAACAACAGAAGAAAGAATTAGTAACGTTAAATCTAAAGGAATACATGATAGAACAAAATATAGCAAAATGTCATGAAAAATTTGTGTGTGATGAAATTAAGTTTCTAGAAAACGAGAAAAAATAAATAAATTTAGAGTTAGAACAGTCTATACAGTTTATAAGCGATAACGAACATGAAATCAGGCACCTGCATGTAGGATGTGCAATTGCTAAAGATGTGAACATATGTTCGCCTGATTTGAGTGAGTCTAGAATACTTTAACGTTGTACATATAGGTTTAGTTTACCCAGTAGGAAATAACTTGTGAAGATTATTTACATCCATTGATTGTATATTAATGTGCTTATTAAAGTAAGGTCTTGCTAATTTTTCACAATGAATATCAGAGCAGTGTTTCTCCTGGCCAATGGTCTGTTGAGGGTACTTGGTATTTCGGAGTGTCTTTGTCGGATTTTGGGTCCGAGCTCACAAAGCGGCATGGGCAGGTGTCGCCCATGCATGCGTTTACGCTTAATTTAGAATGCCATTACAGTGCGTTAGATTAGAATGATCATCAAAATACTATTGTTGATGCATTGCTAATTGAATCACTGCTGAGTTTTCGTCAGCGATAGGCAGTTTGTTGGAGCAAAATTTCTGTGTGGTGAGCTGCAGAATTGTGAGTGAGGGCGGACACCGGCCTCACGCGCCGTCAATGCAGGGGCAACACTGGAGAGAGGTTATGATATATGTTACTGTAATTGTAATCAAATGACAGTCCCCTTTCACTTTTTATGTATCTTATTACAGGCGTTTGCCATATCAGAAATGGATGAGCAGCTAACTGGTTTCCTGATACCCACTGTTACTTGTACTGGATCTGTGGCCATGTAATCGGTATGAAACAAACTATAATTTAATTGTGCTATTTGATCTTGTAGCAGTGTTGTTTTCATTCTGCCAGACCTCAACGGTGATGTTGCGGTTTGTCCGCATATAATAATTGCGTTATAAGCAAGCGCTGATGTTACCTGGTTACGGCTCGATATCGCAGTTGGCCATGGCACTAGCATATCACGGATCTCTGCTTATCTACGATAGGTGAGCGGGCGATGCGAGATGGCTTAAATGCGGGTAATGTAGCGTTCCGCTTTGGTAGTCATTACAGTGCTATATATAATGCCGTGTATCCGTGGAATTCTTCGTGGTGGTAATTCGTCTACTGTCGAGCCATGTAGCTGCTATAATGCCACGAATAATTAATTGCCTAGCTCGTATACACAGGTGAGTTTATGTGATACATACAGCCATGATGTTGACATTCAAGTGGGCTAAACTGTGCAGACATATTCAATGTATCCGGTTACGGGTATCGTGGAAGTCACAGCAACTGGTTTACGTAGGCCGGGTGGATTGCCAACTGAAGACCTATTGTTTTGTGCATGGCCAGAACACTAATTAATTTAATAATAACATCAGGACTGAATATAATAGATCTATTATAATAGTATACAATTATATAGATCTAATAATAATATAATATTATTCAGTCCTGATAACATGCAATCAATATGTAGGAACGAAAACGTTGAACTAGCTGTTTTCTTATTTGTGTCTAGACTGGTGATGTGTTCAGACTAATGGTTGATTGATTGATAAGCACATTCGATAGATATTGGTATATCATAATGGTATGTTTCCATATTCCCCAAATTATTGAAGCTGTGTTTGGTTCACCAGCATAGAAAAAATATGAATCTATAAATTTTATGAAATATATAGAATTAGCCACATTGATCAGTTTCTGTCTTATGTGGTGTATTGTAGCCTACATAAATCCAGACATTTGCGTTTAGTGCATGCTGCACATGCATGGCAAACTCAAATGAATTCAAATACAACTGCAGTAGCAGTCAGCTAAATTTATTGTCACCACTTCTACGTTTGATTGCCACCTCTGCATGCGTGATTGACAGGAAGCTTTAGCAAATTATTGTTGTAGTAGAACGTTCCTAAAGACATTGATTGGCAATGAAGTGCCGCAAACTTGCAGTTTTTGCATACATGTAACCAAGAGTAGATAAATAACATCTTTTATTACGTTATTTATCTACTCTTGATGTAACGTGGGGAAAAGACAGTTTGCACTTGACTCACCAGCAATGCTATGATTTCTATCGCACAGGCGTGTTTATTCTTCTCAGAACTAATGCTTTAATGGGGAATTGCTGGTGCAGTCTTAAAAGCGTCTGTGGGTACTTTAATTGGATACACGTTAGCACTTAGCTGGTGTTGACTTGTGTGAGTGGTTATGTCTGTTGAAGTTAAACACTTCAACCATTGCAAGTCTTTTATTTTTCCTCTGCGAGTTTATCTGGGCATTCATGTTCTCTTATTTTGGCAGGTCGATATTGATAAACGGCATAGTAGAAGCAGGATGGACACTGTTATAGGTTTATTTCATGTGGGAGTTGTAGCGCAATGCTCGGTGCTTTCCCTATCGCTACCCCTTAGTATATACTAAGCATACAGGTGAGTAGAAATTAACTCAAAATTAAAATTGTTTATTTACGAGCACTATGTGTGTGTTTCACTCACATGGCTGTCGAAGTCCCTCCATTCTTCTAGTTCTTAATTCCTAATCATTAGTAGTGTAGTTTTGGTTATTAGTTTGTTATTTTAAATGCACATATCCTGAAGATATTCTCTTTTTTAATGCTTTCGGTAGAACTGATTTACTCGTAGTTTTTTATTGTCAAAATGTCCCAGTGCTGCCATATGCACGTAGTTATACTTTTTAATACTTTAGTATAGTATTACTTGTTTTAATATACGTTTTTCATAGCTTTTTCATTGCTATGAAATAACTTTTTAATACTTTTATGTGCCATTACTCTTTAAGAGAGGACATGTATTTGATTGGAAGAATATAAAGATGACTGCATTTGGCATAAGTCTATGTTGTTGATGTGTCTCTGTTCAGTGGAGTGTTCTTCCGCTCTCAGCTCTCGTGCCGTCAGTGACAAATGAGTCTCATGGACCATCTTCAGTGCTGTTGCCCGTGCCATTGGACTGTAGCCGAGCGAGGCCGCACGAGTTTGCTCAAGATTCGTCAATCGCCACACGAGAAATTTGTCCTAAAACACCGCTTTCACTGATCCGATATACTGTATAACTTTGATAAAAGGAGGGGATTCAAGAGTCATACAAGTTGTGTCCAGAATAGTTAGAATGCACCAAATTGCCCACCATTTTTTCAAAAGAGTTGTTCGTGGATATCCTTCGCCGCTAGCTATGGCCAGGAAGCACTATTGCACTGCCTCACTGTGTCTAGGATGGCCTCGCCAAACACCACAAACTACACCACAGCAAAATTTTGCCACCGTTACAGACACTTCAGGCCAGGGAAACTGGCATTGAATATTCCAAACGTGAGAATTCAAGACGATAATTTCCTGCATGACATTGCCACATCCATGTCCTGGAAGCTTTTTTTTTGTTTTTTTTCTTCTTTACAATTTGCTGCCCACAGGCTATAATGTATGTCCGGTAATAAGGTATAAGTTACACAAATCTTAGTAGGCCGGGTGCTGATACAAATTTAACTTTTATAGGCAATTTGATATTTTTTATTCTTTTTTTCGGTAATAAACCTGAGTGGCAGCACTGAAATGAAAATTATGTGGGTTTTTTTTTTAGAGTATAACTGAGAAATAGTGTTGGCAGGATTTGTCAAACCTTGATTATGTATTGTGTCATTATAATTAGATAGTGTTTTATTTCCATTGGAATGTGCATGCCCGACATTCCATTCCCAATCCACAGGTACGGCTGTTGCAAAATGTTCCAGAATAACTCTATGACAATATAATGCTTTGTCATAGGCAGTATGCAGGCTGTCTTCCGTTTCGCCTGTTCCCACTTCGCCATTTCCCATTTCGCCATTTCCCCATTTCGCCAGTTGCCATTTTCGCCAGTTGTCCCACTTCGCCATTTCCCATTTCGCCATTTTCCCTTTCTGAAGCGGGGGGGGGCACCGTGGCCCCCCTTGCGGCCATTTTGCCATTTCGCCATTTTCCCACTTGCAGTTTCCATTTCGCCAATGTTATGTTGCTTCCACCCCCTGCACGAAATTATCCTTCCATTCTTAAATAAGAGTCATTTTCGAGGGTTAGGTTAGGGTTTAGGGTTGAGGCTAGGGTTAGGTGTAGGTTGAGGGCTAGCGGTTAGGGAGTTATGGGTTAGGGGTTAGGTGTTAGGGTGCCTTACATGATCCGAGTGTATGTTTGATATGTTACGATATTGCTCTTCTTGTTCTTCAAATAAACTAGTTTTGCGTTCTCATAGTCTGATAAGTCGGGGTACAATTTTATTCATTACAAGGGCCTACTTGAACCCACCGGAACAAGGGGTGGTCGGGGAGATAGTACGAATAATGTGCGGAATGGAAACTGGCGGAAAACCGGAAAAGCTGGCGAATGGGAAGACTGGGCGAAGGGGAAACTGCGAAATGTGTGGAAAATGCGAAGGTGGCGAAATGGCGAGAATGGGGGTTGAAATGGCGAGAAGATGGAATGATGGCGACAATGGTTTTAATGGCGAAAATGGGAAATGGCCGACAGTGAGGCAAATATGGGCGAAACGGAATAAACCGCTTATGCGAGCATCAATATTTGTTTCTACTTGCAACCGGCCGATTGTCTTCCCATTCGCCAGTTTTCTCTCAGCGTGGTCGGCTATTTTTTTCCGATGTTTGCGTCGTGATTGCGCCATTGTTACCAGTGCTTCTCTATTTTCCCATGTTCGCCATGTTTCCACCGTTTCCCATTTCGCCATTTTCCCATGGTTTCGCATTTTCAGCCCTTTTGCCTGCCAGTTTCCCATTTCGTCAATATTTTATGTTGCTTCCACCCCCTGCACGAAATTGATCCTTTCATTCTTAAAAAAGAGTCATTTCTAGGTCGTTAGGGTTAGGGTTAGGGTTAGGGTTATGGTTAGGGTGCCTGTATATGATCCATATGTTTTGATATGTACGATTTCGCCTTCTTGTTCTTCAAATAAATAGTTGACTCTATATCTAAAGATTCGTTATAATTTATTTATTATACAGAGGCCTACTTTTAAACCACCTCGAACAAGGCGGGGGTGGTCGGGGAGATAGGACGAAATTGCGGAATGGGAAACTGGCGAAACGGGAAACTGGCGAAATGGGAAACTGGCGAAACGGGAAACTGGCGAAGTGGGAAACTGGCAAAATGGGAAAATGGCGAAGTGGGAAATGGCGAAACGGGAAATGGCGAAGTGGGAATTTTTCAATGGTGAAATGGCAAATGGCGAAGTGGGAAATGGCGAAATGGGAATAAACCCTTAGTAGCAGTGCGAAAGATAGCGGTCATGCGATTGATGCAGCTCTCAGTTCGTTGTTGTTTCGTCGTACAGTGCAACATAAATTGACTCGAGACTTGATAGGTTTTTATCCTAGATGTGACGTATTCTAGCCTACACGAATCAAGACATTTGCATTTAGTGCTGCACATGGCATCAGGGTATTAGCCAGGAAAAAAAGGGAACCTCCCCATCTGAGAGAAGCGAGAATGTTGCGCGCGCGAAGTGCCCTAGGTGAAGGGCCTTACCTTAAAATGGAGGAAATTTAGTCTGAAATGCCAAAATGGCAGGAATCTGATATGGTTTTATATTCTTATAAGCACTGTTGTCAGTTATGTCGTCTCTATCAAATTTCATACGTCTCATCCAAGAATAGGCCGTCCAAAAGACGGGTAGACGGGTCTCTGGCTAACACGCTGCATGGCATTGACTCGAGCCTTTATCCTCGCAGTGAAAGCCCGGCGGACAGCAGACCTGTGATCGGCGCAGGTCGACCATGCAGTTCCACGCGAAGCACGGCTCGGCGATAGTGCTCGTCGACGGCAACACGCGCGCCAAGCGCACGCACGGCTTCTGCAATGCCGTGACCTTCAGCAGCCGGCCGCTGGAGGTCGGCGAGTTTATGTCGCTCGACGTCACGAAGACGACTCTGTGGAGCGGTGCCGTGCGGCTCGGCGTGACGATACGCAAGCCGGACACGCTCGAGTGGCTGCCACGCTATGCCGTGCCCGACCTGACGAGTCGGCCCGGCTTCTGGGTGAAGTCAGTGCGCGAGCAGTGGCTGAGTGACGGCTCGCGCATCACGTTTGTTGTCACTGACGACGGCAACCTACAGCTGTTTGTCAACAACGTGCACAAGTCGACGCTGCTCTTCGGGCTGCCCGTGCACCAGCGGCTGTGGGCCGTCATAGACATCTACGGCAATACGGACTCGGTGAGGATCATTGGCAAAGGTGAGCGGTAGTGCTGCCGTCTCGTGTGAGAGTGTGCATGTGTGTGCGTGCGTATATGTGTCTGTGCGTGTGTGTGTGTATGAGTCTGCGTGTGTGCATGCCTGAACTGCGTGCGTATATGTGTCTGTGCGTGTGTGAGTCTTTGCGTGTTTGCATGTGTATATGAGTGTGCGTGTGTGCGTGCGTGCGTATATGAGTATGTGCGTATGTGCGTGCGTATATGAGTCTGTACATGTGTGCGTGTATATATATGAGTCTGTGCGTGTGTGCGTGCGTATATGAGTCCGTGCGTGTGTGCGTGTGTGCTTGCGTATATGATTCTGTGCGTGTGTGCATGTGTATATATGAGTGTGTGTGTGTGTGTGTGCGTGCGTATATGAGTCTGTGCGTGTGTGCGTGCTTACATATATAAGTGTGCGTGTGTACGTGCGCGTGTATGAGTGTGCGTGTATGCGTGCGTATATGATTCTGTGTGTGTGTGCGTGCGTGCGTGCGTGCGTGCGTGCGTGTGTGTGTGTGCGTGCGTGCGTATATGAGTCTGTGCGTGTGTGCGTGCGTATATGAGTCTGTGCGTGTGTGCGTGCGTATATGAGTCTGTGCGTGTGTGCACGCGTGCGTATTATGAGTCTGTGCGTGTGTGCATGTGTATATGAGTCTGTGTCTGCGTGTGTGCGTGCGTATATGAGTGCGCGTGTGTGCGTGCGTATATGTGTCTGTGCGTGTGTGTGTGCGTATATGAGTCTGCATGTGTGCGTGCGTATATGAGTCTGCATGTGTGCGTGCGTATATGAGTCTGTGCGTGTGTGCGTGCGTATATTAGGGTGCGTGTGTGCGTGTGTGCGTGTGTGCGTGCGTGTGTGCGTGCGTATATGAGTCTGTGCGTGTGTGCGTGCTTGCACTATAGTCTACGTGCGTACGTATATGAG